CTTCTTGCTGCTTTTTATTATTTGGAGTGACTTCACCATTTGGGTTCTTTTGTTGCTGTTCTTCTTGTACCTTTTGCTGCAATTCAATGGCCCGTGCCTCTTTGCGATTTTGGGGCTTCTTGGGCTTCTTCTTCTGCTTCTTCTTGGGCTTCTTGTTATCGTTGTTGCTGGTGCTGGTGCTAGTGCTGCGGTCCATGGTCTCTCCCTCGGGGGCGTCCGTCATCTTGCTTTCTTTAAGATGTTTGCTTCTTGTGGGTGCGTGAAGCTGCTTCTCTCGGAGGGTTCGCGCCGAAGCCTGAATAGATTTGATTTGGCCAAGCAGGATTATTCCACCTGCCCCATTATCCTCGCATGAGCCACGATGCCACGATGTGCATGCTACCATGCTGTGGTAACATTTTTTAGGGGGGGTGGTACATGTACCGGTACCGCTACGACTTTGGAATTGTCCATGGTGGACGAATCCAGAGCAGTCACTGTGGGATGGAGAGTACATTGAAAACAAATTTTGCGCGACCACGAGTCTTGTGCATGGAACCGAATATCTCCAAATTTTTCTCGTCATTTTTGTTGTTGGAATGATCACAAGCCCAGCTGCAGAGACTAAACCAGCTTGTCATTGAGACCAGACTATTGGCGTTAGGAGGTCGATCAGATTAAGATGATCCCTGCTAAGAAAGGTTTAAAGCAGGCTCCGGCCAATACCCCCGGGGTTGTGGAGGTGCCCCACACCATGCCTGCTGCCAGTGTGACAGTTTATAGAGGGTTACGGCGCTCAAAAGCCAAAGAATCAGAGCAGTCAAGGCAGCAAGCAATTTCCTTGGTATCCAGCTCTCGTCATGGCAATGTACCAGTTTGGCGTGGTCTTCAGAAGAATCGACAACTTCTTACAAAGGCTCTCGATGAGGCGTCCACCGTATCACCTGAAAAAACGAAGGCATCCTCTGAAATTGAGGAAATGTCGTCGTTGTCGGATTCTTTCGTTGAGCCAACACTGCGTTTTTCGAGAACAAGTCCTACAAGTCCTCTTATAGTGGCCGTGCCAGTATCGGAAGAACTTCCCTTGTATCTTCCCCAAGCCGAGTGGGTAGATCCAGATGAGATGGAACGGCGAAGACTCAGGAAAAAGAAGAATTGTTGCTATTGGACATTCACAATGCTGTTCCCTATCTTCCCAATGCTTCTTGTTCTTGGCTTGGTTATTCTGAAGAAGCAACAGGGTGAGGTTTCTTCGGCAAGAGCACCTCAAACACCGTCCCCAACAGTTGCCGTTGTTGAGACACCGCCTCCCACAGAGATTCCATCATCAACAGATGAATATGTCCGATCACTTCTTCCACCCATCTCCTTGCAAAAAATTGACGTAGCGCAAAGTCCTCAGAACCAGGCATTTCGTTGGTTATTGGAGGATCCATTGTTGCCCGACTATCCTGATTTGAGGATCGTCCAGCGATATGCTCTCGCAACCATCTATTATGCTTTTGGTGGCAATGAAACCTGGTTCAACAATTCGAATTGGCTTTCGCATGATGCGCGTATACATGAGTGTGATTGGTTTTCACATATTGTGGACCACGACAACGTGCAGCATTCAGTGCTGAATCTTACAGGGAGAGGCCATGACGCGGAAGTTGTTTTCGAGGCACCGCTTGACATTTGCCGAACCATTGATGACGATCCAACCGCGGATCATTCTTCTGGTGGGGACAATAGGAAGCGAGTATACCAAGAACTGTGGCTCCAGACCAATGGACTAAAGGGAACTGTGCCCGACGAGCTCTACTTGCTAACACACTTGAAAGTCATCAATCTTGGTTCCGGAAACGCTGTCCAAGGCACACTGTCCTCAATGGTTGGAAATCTGAAAGAATTGGAGGTATTATCATTTTCTTCTTCTCAGCTGACTTCAACACTGCCTTCAGAACTCGGATTGGCCCGCAACTTGCGTGTTGTTGTCATGACATCAAACCAACTGAGTGGGACAATTGCAACTGAAATCTTTGGGCTTTCCCACCTACAGCATCTATGGCTAGAAGAGAACAATTTCCATGGAACTGTGGCGCCAGACATTGAACAGCTCTCCAGCCTGGAAACTCTATACATGTTCTCTAATGCCCTTCAAGGCACGTTGCCAAACGAAATAGGATCTTTGACCTCACTGAAGGAGCTTTCCTTGCGAAACAACAACTTCCAGGGCCACGTGCCAACCGGGCTTTCCTTAATGTCCAACATGACAGTTTTGTTTCTTTCGAACAATCAGCTGAGTGGATGGCTGCCATCAGAGCTCGGAGTGTTGACCAATATGATAGATTTTCAGGTATGTACTGTTGTAGCTGAGCACATGACGTTTTCGTCATTACCCCCAACTTACTCCTTGTCTTGTTGGCGCTATTGGTCTTCAGATTAGTGGTAACAGTCTCACGTCAGGAATCCCGACAGAGTTTGGGTCTCTCACTGGCATGACCAATTTGTACCTCTACGACAACAGATTGAGCAAATCCATTCCCAGTGAACTCGGCTTGATCACTTCTATGGTGGACTTTGAGCTCCAAGGGAACCGGTTGTCAGGCAGCCTTCCAACTGAGCTGGGTTCACTAACGGCCATAAAATGGTTCTGGTTGTTTGGTAACAAACTGAGTGGAAGCATTCCAAGTGAATTGCAAAGGGCAACATCTTTGATTGATTTCTCACTCTTTGACAACCACCTTTCCAACAAAATTCCAAGTGAGCTATCTATGCTAAGTGGATTGGAATTCCTGTGGCTCCAGCAGAATCAACTCACTGGCCCGATACCCAGCCAGCTGGGCTTGTGTTCCTCACTGAAATCGATAAAGCTCTCCAACAACTCTTTGACCTCGACTCTTCCGGTCGAGTTGTCGAACAGTTTAGTGACTCTCAACACTCTTGATCTTCGATTCAATCAAGGTCTAAGTGGATCCGTCCCCACTGCATTTTGTAAAGTCTCCGACTTTCATTGCTCCAGGCAGCTGTGTGGTTGTCATTGTCATTGCACCAGCCAACTCTACGACATCAACGACATGAGCGACAACAACGACAACAACGACATCGACGACACTGCAATGGCTCCTCTGGACACAAACAGTACAAGCATCACAAAGCAGAACAATGCTTCTTCAGCATTATTGCGGAACGTTAGCCAGAGTGTCAATGATGACGACGGAGGAGTCCATCCGCCCGAGACGTTGGAAAACGAAGGAATTGGACCTTTTGACTCTGAAGAAGCCGAAGACTTCGTGAATAATCCTTACGAAGAAGTGCTGGCTGCCGGATCCAAAACAGGGGTTATGGAGGGTTTAGAACCCGATAAGTGGATCTTCTACTAGCTTTGCATAGAGCATCCTTTCAAATGCACACAGCCTAAGCAGTTAGCTTTTTCTGTGGGAGGCTGCAAAACATATCGCCCCAGCCACCTCACTGCCAGTTGTTCGTGCGTGTTGAGTAGAACGAATTTGCCGCTTGACCAGTACATTGCGCCCATGCAGTTGTCGGAAGATGTAGGCCAAACCATTCTTGGTCGCTCAAAGCAGGCGCATAACACATCCTCAAAACGTACCGTACATGTACCGGTAGGTGCAACCCGAGCATAGCTACTACTGCAAGATTTGGGTTGGACGTCAAATTTGTCTATAGATATCGTTAGAAAACAAATGTAACAGTCTCAACTTGAGAATAAATGCACCGTAGCAAATACCAGGTACCTGGTTGTTGACGCTCTGCTTCCCCATGTACCGGTACGCCACAATCGAAATTTCAATATGCACTCAAACGAATTCTTGTAGATAGATGAATATCATCCACAGTACTTGTTTGGTTGACTTGCTTGACCAGCTGCTTACTGTTCTCCACTCGAAGCCAACACTTGGTAGGACCAGTAGATGTCCGCCATGGCCTTTACAGCTGCCCATGCCACCTGCTCATCCGCTTCTTGATCATCCTGCGTGATCAAACCACCGCTACTGACTCCTACAGATCCACAGCAAGTTCCATTCAAAATGAGGGGAACCCCTCCGCTCATGTGGAGGTATGGGTAGAGGGAGACCAAGGCCGCCGATGCGGCATCTTGAGTTCCAGCACCAGGCCTGCCGGTGGGTCTGCCAAACATGGAGGCCATTTTGGCCTTGCCAACGGCCAAGTCAAAGGATGCCGCCGTACCAATCATGTCGGTGTTACGCTTGACTTGAATGGGGATCCCGACGGTATCCGAGATGCAAATGGTCACATCCCACCCATTGGCCTCAGCTTCGGCCTCGGCTGCAGCCATGCCAATGTCCGCCACAACCTGCGTCAAGACAATGACAGAGGTTTGAAAGGCCTCCGCCACGGGGGAATTGTTTTTGCTGCTGGCCGACTGTTTGGTGGGAGCCAAAGGCAAGGGTTTGACCCTGGGGGGATCCAGTTCTTCGCCCTCATCCGAGATTGTGAAATTGTTGTTGTTGGTATTGTCGTCATCGTAATCAAAGGCACCCAAAGCATCCGAGACTGCGGCAGCCAGTTGTTCCTTGCTCCTAGGTTCTTCAGATGCGGACGATTTGCCCTTGCCCAAGCGACGCGCCATGGCTCCAAAGGGATTCTTACGACGGCCACTCTTGCCTTTGCCAAAGGTCCTACCATTCTTACCTCGGTGGTTGTTGTTGTTTCCATCATTGCCGGTTGTATTCGCGCCATGGTTGCTAGTTTCCTCGTCGACGTCGCCAATGTAGTCATTGTCGTCATCACTAATGGTGCTAGTGGTGCTATTGTTGGTACTGTTGATGGTGCTGTTGTTGCTGTGACTCATGACGCTGGCTGTCGCAGCAGTCGCCTTGGTACTGGTAGTACTCACGGCATCTCCGGTGGCAAAGTTGACAATGGGAGACAACAAGGAGTTCTTGTCGGCGTTTGTGTTGTCCTCCTCTTCCGCAACATCTTCGGCAGGAGGATCGGGCGGATATTCCGCCGCCATGGTGTCATTGTATCGACCCTTGAAAGAAGACATGTTGTCCAATCTCTATTAGTGGTGGGTGGCAGAGAGAAAGTGATTTTACAAGACGAGGGGCACGGCGTAAGAATGGATCGAGAAAGCCTTTGTTGTGTCACTTGGGGAGCTATTGTGAACAGACTTACTCGTTTGATACGATGCCTGGGAGCGCTCATTTCGCTAAGATACTTTTTGGATTGGATTGGATTAATGTGCCGATAGTGCTTTGGGCTATCTGAGAGACCACTGTAGTTGCGAGAGCCCATGAGCAAATTTGTTTTCTTGCCAGGTGGTTGGGCGAAGAAAAGAAAGTGGTGGGAGTCGACTCGGGATGGTCGTGGGAGTCAAAGATCTGTGGGTCATTGCATTGTCGATCGCGTTGGGATAACTATTGGGAACGAGCCTCTCTGTCTACCGTACAGCTATCCGAGCATTCGAAAGGCCGCCAACTCCTATAAAAATCACATAACTTGCATGTATCATGTAGGACGGTTGGCGGGGCTTTGGTACTCAGCACTTCACCGATTCAGATAGAAGCAGAACCCGTTGCCATGATGATACCAGACGATTCAAGTACTCGATTGGCTCGTTCGACTGTTCCCGCAGCAAACATGGAAGGCACCTCCAATATCAAACACAACAACCTCAAGCTAAAGTTGATGCGTTCTCTGATACGGACCTTGATCGGGCTCTCTGTCCTGAAGATGGCGTACGACGCAGTTCAAGTGCAAGAGAAGTTTCAGCGCGGACTGCGAGCTTCGAGTGCCCACAGCACGGATGAATCCATGATTTTGCCTGCAGAAACAGCCAGACAACGAGGGGACGATGAAGAACCAACAGCCGACGCTCAGGAGATCTCTGCTGCTACAGCAACAACGACAAGGAAGAAGACACCTCTCTCTGAGATTGTCCGTGCCGACGAGCAGGTCACGTGCCCACACGGTCTCTACCCGGTCCAACAAATAGTCAATAGCACCGCTGACATGGGACGAGATCGAAAGATACCCAGAATTATCCACATGACTGGCGAATCCAAGTGTCTCACAGAAATCTTTTACAACAACACGCGAAAATGGTCTCTGGACGGGCATAGTTTTTATTTTCATGACTACCAAGCCAAGCAGCAACTGCTGCAACGGTTCTGGCCCGAATTCCCACACATTCAGATAGCCTATGAATGCCTCAAGAATGCTGGAGGAGCCGCCGTTGCCGATCTATGGCGGTATCTGGCCTTGTGGGAATACGGGGGGATTTACACCGATATGGACAACGAACCAGGAAAGCTCTTTCATGCGGACGCCATCGACCCGGATATAGACGGATTCTTTCTCAGGGTAAGCCTCGGCAAATAACGCAGTGATCACCGTTCTGTGCAGCCAGCAATGTTTCTGATTCAACCGCACATACGATTCCTATTTTCAGTCAAGCGTGGGCCTCCCGAGCCAGTACTTTTTTGGCATTTCACCGAAGCATCCATTGATGTTTGTAAGTGCAGCATCTGGCAGTATTGCAAAAATAGTCCTGCTTCACCTCTTCCTTGTGCATCATGGTCTCACAGTTTTGTTCCAGTTGGCAGTTCACGATGTACTCAAGGAAATGCTCGCATTGGCCGACGTTGGCACATTTTATGTGCCAGGAACTACGGGGCCGCGCTGCATTCGACGAGCCTTTCTAAAGTTCGTGAGCATTACAAACAGAGGTATTGACTCCGCAACGTACAACAGCTATGCATACCCAGAGGCTGGAAAGTTTGTTGGTATGCTGAACCGATCCGTCGACATTGTTGGCAACGATACCACAAGAGAGCAGTACGTCAAGACGAGTTCCCTCCACCATGCCAAAAAGACGGATTGGAAACTCATGAATCATACCGACTACTACAAGTTGAACAAGATCCCACAACACAAGACTTGTCTCAAACTTCTGTTAGAACAGCATCTGGAAAGCATTGAGCAGCAAGAGCAATGAAGAGTCTCAGAGTCACGGCTGCCATGCCGTGACGTGAGCAAGAACTGAAGCAACTACACGTAGAAGGATCATATGTGGCCACTCTGCCCTCTGCCGCTTGCAAGGAGGCCCAATCACCTCGATCGAGACAGCGAAGCGAAATTGAGACCGCTGTGCCACTCCTTCTTTGCAAACCTTGTGGAATCAGAATGATTCGATTCAATCAGATAGCAACTTCTGCTACGGTACTGTATACCCAAGTTCAAAATTCCACTGGTGAACGGTTGATGCCCCCCCCAACCTAGCTAGCAAGCAATGCTGCAAAATAAATAAATGATGCCTTCTGGCCACGGAATCCTCGCCCTGGTACATGTAGAATACAGCTCTATCGGCTTTGAGATTTTTAAAAAAAGGAATAAATGCAGAAGGTGAACTCCGAGGAACGCGATACAAGCTAGTAGTCCCAATGTCCCAATGTAGGATCCAGGACCAGGAATAGATTGTTTTATTTTAAAATACCGCCATTTTTATCCTCCATTGTGCACCGAGAACATAGAAAGAAAGATGACCGAAGCCCCTAAAGGAGAGACTATAGACCGCAACAGCAGCCAAAACAGCAAGCCCAAGAAGAAGCCCAAGAAGCCCCAAAATCGCAAAGAGGCACGGGCCATTCAATTGCAGCAAAAGGTACAAGAAGAACAGCAACGAAAGAACCCAAATGGTGAAGTCATACCCAACAATAAAAAGCAGCAAGAAGAGCAATGGTTGGATCCCTGTGTGGAGACAGTTGGACAATGCATTTGCTGCTGTGGATTGTGTGAGGAGGACTCTAAATGTGGTCAACGTTGCGAGGCTGTTTGCCTTCCCTGCCTTCCCTGCCTTTACTGCCTTGCCTGCTGTTGTGGTGGAACTTCGAAATACGCTTCATAGAACCAGCAAACAAGAGAATTCAGTCGCATGTCAGCACGAGATTCAACGCAACATACATGCACCAAGACTAATTCATTCTCTTGTTCCTACCAAGCCAAATGTGAGGAGAAAACACAATATCAGTTGTGAGTGTGGCTAAATGTAGCTGGGCATGTACACTATGATATTTTGCAGTTTTGAGGGTCCTGATGATTACATGCATATGGTTTGGTTTGGTTTGGTTTGGAAGGAAGCAGTCAACCAACAGCTCTTGCTTCATGCCAGTATTTGGGGAGTGGCAAAAGATGCAACTGTGCAGTTTCGCTACTGGACCTTCCCCCGATCCCCCAGCTACAGGGAAGTGTTTTATTCAAATAGAAGCGAATTCTTGCCCTTTGCACACACACTGTCCAACCTTATAAAACATGGCCCTCCCAGGCTTCCGTAGGTAACCTCGATAGTCTATCCCTTGCTTTAATCTTCTTGTACGGTAGAATACAGCTCTATATTGGCTTTTAGTTGTTAGTGAGGAGCTTCGACACAGCGACAGTCTAGCTAGACTGGTCTACTAGCTAGCTATTACGCAGCGAGCTGCCACCAGGTAGCATTGAATCATAATATTATTATTGTAATCGTATTACGCAACACGCGATACATTTCCATTGTTCGAAAGCAGGATCCGCCAAGAACCAGGAATAGATTTGATTCCATTTTTGTATTGAGATCCCCATCACCACTGAAAGGCAAAACTGAAAGAAAGATGACAGAAGCCCCTGAAGGAGAGACTATGGACCGCAACAGCAGCAAAAACAACAAGCCCAAGAAGAAGCCCCCAAAACCCAAGAATCGCAAAGAGGCTCGGGCCATCGAGTTGCAGAAGAAGGTTCAAGAAGAACGGCAACGAAAGAACCCAAATGGTGAAGTCATACCCAACAATAAAGAGCAGCAAGAAGAGCGATGGTGGGATCCATGTGTAGAGACAGTTGGACAAAGCTTTTGCTACTGTGGAGGAGGACTTTGCACGCTTGTTTGCCTTCCCTTCCTTCCATGCCTTGTCTGCCTTGACTGCCTCAATAGATTCTGTTGTGGAAGTTCGAGATAAGCTTCGTAGAACAGGCAAACAAGAGAATTCAGTGGCAGGTCAGCAAGAAACTCGGTACTCAACATACAGGCACCACGACTAATTCGTTGTCTTGTTCCTACTAAGCCCAATGTGAGAGGAGGAGAAACACTGTATCAGCTAAGTGGGGCTGAATGTAGCTGGACATGTACAGTCGGATTTTGATGCAGTTGTGAGGTCCCTGATGATTACATTCAGATGATTTGGTTTGGTTTGGAAGGAAGCAGTTGACCGCTCTAGTAGCTTCAGAACTTGGGGAGCCGCAAAAGTTTCGGCCGGCCCAGGCGCAGGCTGAGGTTACTACTAATTTGTCAAAAGTCCGAAACAACTAAAAACTTGTTGAGTGGAGTTCCTCTCGTGCCCAAGCAGTGGATAATCAACTCTCCTTCTCCGACAAAGGGACCCATATTTCCTCAAAGAATCAGTTACATGTACTCCCTTTCATATGGTGTTGCTGGGATCTCATTGGCTCATTGGACCCAAGCACAGTTATGTGGTCTGGGTTTTAGATGTATGGCAGGCTGACACCGGTTGTGTCGAACTTGCGAAGGAGGGGACAAGTGAGAAACAACGTAACCTGGTGCTTTGGCTTGGAGCCAACAGAAATGGCCGAAAGCCGACATCCACTAGGTATTTACCACATTCTGGTACGCTAGTTAGCGCCATACCAAAAGCCAGGAAGTGGTCTAAATGTCAACACTCATGCGAAAGTTGCTTGCCGCAAAATCGCAACACCTGCAATTGCAGGGCCAGAGCAATACACGGTAGCTCCTACAGCTAGTACCGGTAGACTGCTACTGTACCGGTAGAGATACAGCGCCAGTGGTCGGTGCATGATGCATGGCACCAACTGCATGTACATGAAGTTGAAAAGACAGCAGTGCCCGAGCAAATAGAATCCAATCTTCAATCTTTTGACTAGAGATCTAGCTAGTAGTCTAATTTCGATTCTTTTGGGTGTGGGGTGTGGCGTGTGGGAGTACCGTACGAGGGCCGCGCTTTCACTGGACTTTGAAGCTTCACCATGGCGAGCTCATTAGGTTGTACTGGTACTGGTACCAACGGTAGACTGCGTGCCACCGTGTACTAGTATGCATATGGTATGTACGTACTACAGTACTACCAGGTACAGTACATGTACTAGAATGAAGGTGATAAGTCAATGGGAACATTCAGAAATTAGTTTGGGTTCAGAGGTTGCATGGTTTCGGTCACAGGGCATATGTAAGCCAGAGGTGCAAATCCGAACCGAAGCAAAATGTGAGCATCGGAACATCAAAATCCAACCTCTGAACCTACCCCCGTAGGCTCCCATGGGTGGTTGAGAGGTTGGAGCTGTTTATTTATGATCACAAGTCCCCTGTTAATTACCATACTAATGATCCAGTGATCATACTTAACAGCTGACAACCCCAGAACCTCCTTTCCCCAAAGTTGTCAAAAATTCGGAAAGGTTGGTCGGTTCGGAGGTTGATGGGTCATTTTCGGTATTTAAAGTTCCTTTTTATCTTTGTAAGTCTCCCAAAATGCAACCTCCCAACCTCAAATAATTTCTGAATGTCCCCAATAAGTCTCTCTTGACGAGGGGAGCTCGATCGGGAAGTGTTCGGTATTCTGTTCAACTGTTCAGTTAGTTGCTTGGGAGTTAGAAGTCCCGACAAAAATGAGGCGGGATTTTCTGTCACTGACACCAAAGCTCACCAAAAAAGTAGTCTGAGAGCTCTAGTAGCAGACAGCTGTCTCCGAGCACGCAGCAGCTGTAGAAGCTACTGGTACGGCTACCCCCAGTCTCCTGGTCCACCCCACCGCCGACATACTGTTATCACAAGAAGAAGCTAAAAGAGGGAGAGAATACTTACTTCGAAGCCGACCTCCAGACTAAGAGATCCATCAGGCTATTTTAGTAAAGAAGGCTACCCTGAGAATGGCTGACAACGAAAACATCGAGGTGGAATCACCAGCCCTCAAAGAGGAGCTCCTGAAGGAGGAACCCATGGGAGAAGAGGAAGACATGGAACCGATGAAGGTGGAGGCATCCACTGCTGATGCTTCGTCAGGCTTGAAGAAGACTTGGGATGATTGGACAGATTGGATGTCCGGCAGTGGAGGCCGTGGCGATGAGAATTTGCTGCCGGCCAAGTACAAGTTGGTCACCGACGACAATGCCCGTTATTACTCGTTGGTGGCTTTGCAGGTTAGCGTAGCAATTGCCTCGATCAATTCCAAGCTTCTGAACCCAAACTATCCAATCATGGTGTCCCCAGGTGCGCACGAGGACTCGTTTCCCAGCACGGAGCCCTTTGCATTCAACTCAGGTATGTCTGCGACACACATATTGATTCCACGTTGCAGTGTTGATTATTTGTTTTGTTGTTGGAATAACATCTGACATCACAACATTGAATGTACGGTACATCCTGAACTCGACACCAAACCAAAAGCGACGTACTTTATCCCGATGTGGTGAGTTCAATTTAGACAACGTGTCGCAAGCAAAATCTGGTTTCGAAAATGGTCAAGACTTAACCTATTGTTCAAACCTACCGTACCTACGTCAAAGCACCCTTTTGGGAGTGGCTATATCCAGCATCGTTCTTGGAGGGATCAGTGACCGTTTTGGTAGGAAACCCGTCCTTTTGATCTTGGCAATCATTAGCACCTTTGGGAGTGTCGTCAAGTATTTTTGCCGCCATCAATTCTGGGCGTTCTGCATTGCGCAATTCATATTTGGATTCTTTCTGTCAAGTCTTCCGGTGGCCATGGCCTACGTCGGTGATGTGTTCACGAACAAAGAGGAAAAAGAAAGCCAGTTGGGTCTCCTTGTGGGTTGCTCCGTCATGGGCAGTTCGGGTGGAGGAATCATTGCAATCCTCATGGAATCCACTGGTCTCTTTACGCCACTTTTGGTCGGGGCGGGTCTCAGTGCCATAGCTGCGATCGTATTGAGCACTTGCTTGATTGAGCCTGGCGATGCCCGTTTGGTGGACACCAAAAAGAGCATTGATTTGGATGATGAGGATGTGCTCAAACGTCCAGATGAAATCAAACAGTCTGTCATGTGGAATGTGGTGGCTGGTGGTAAGTGTCTGAGAGAAACTGTACTGGTCTTTTGCTTCTTTGTTAGAAACCCATTCTCATGCTTCTGCCGCAAATCCACTCCCAGCCCTCTTGGACAACATTGGTTCTACTGGATTGTTCCCGCTGTGTCTCTCGCCCCTTGCCATACAACAATACCATCTGCAATTTGTGACCGCCGACCCGGAAGAAGAACCCATCATGTCTCTGACTGGATACAAATGGCTTTCGGTCTGTGTTGCGCTCATGGTCATCCCATCAACCTTAATGACGCCCCACATCTTTGCCAAAATTGGAGTTGCCGCAACCTGTGTGATGGGGAATATAATGACTGCGGCCTTGACCATGGCATTGTTGGGTATTGGTACAGGGCCTGCCACAGAAACGTACTTTTATATTTTTGTGGCTGTTTTGTATGGTGGGTTTCCCTTTACTGTTTTCAGTCAGCTCACTACTGGCCCCATGCTGGATGTGTTGGCACCGGAAGACAAGATTGGTTATGTCCAGGGACTCAACAATATGGCAATGAACTTTGGCATGGCCTTCGCTCCTTGGGTGTTGGGCATTTTGGCAGACGCAACCACAACAGAAACGGCGATTTGGACTGGTGTTGCAATTAGTTTCTTGGCTGCCCTCACAAATGCACCTCTCATGTGGCAGCCACAAATGGGTAAACCCATCGCTATTCCGCCTTCCTACAAGCGCGTGTTGGATGGAGAAGATGAAGATATTGTCAAGAAGGTGTTGGAGGGGGAGTATGTACCCGATGACGTTATGTTCGATCTCAATCGTCAGAGAATGCTCAAACACAAGCCCTTCTTGGTACCAAAGGTAAAGCCATACGAAGAGGAGAGAGACTCATTGGATGAGTTGTCCAAAAATGCAGGAGAAACGTTTCGCTTCAGAAAGAACATGCGTGATCGTGTGCTGAATGAGATGGCCAAAGACGGTGGCAGAGCCAGGGCGGAAGAATTTTGTGACCTGGTTAATCTGGCCAACGGAAAAGTTGAGCAAGCCGACAAAGAAGAGGTTAGCGCCGATCTGGGCAAGTGGATCGGAGACTATTTGCAAGACAATGGCTACAATCCAGCCACCAATCCCGTGTTGATCAAGCAGATGGTCTTGACGGCCTTCCCGCAAATTTCTCGCGAACCAATCTCCGCTGACAACCTTGAAGAGCAGGCTTTTCGCTCTCGTCAAATCTATTCACAATACATTACTGTGACCGACCGACAGAAGAACAAATATTCGTTGAAGGGCATCCTAAGCACGCAGCCAAACCAGGGCTTCTACTAGCTAGCTGGTAACGAGTGCCGAGCTGAGAGGAGAGGGAAGGCCATCAGTCATGAAAGTGGAAATTGTGACAAGCAAGGCAAGGAATGTTGGGTGTGCGGTAATTTGCATTGCTAACTTGTACCAGTGTGTGTGAAAAATTGATCAAAATCTTGCTGTCTCGAGCTCTTTGATGAAATCCTCGATTGGCCCGCATCGTTGCTTCATTCATATTCTAGCTGGTTATTAGTTCGTCACCAGCGTCGTCATCCTGGTTTCCATCCAACCCTTTTGCCCTCTCCAGAGTCCACCTGAGGGACCACCAAATAACCAATCGTTTGGCCGTGTCTTCTCCCTGGGCTTCAACCAACTTATCCCAATGAAAGCTGTGGAACACACTCTTGGGCGAATACCCCACCAAAAGCAAAACTATAGCGAGCGTGACATCCTCCTCGGAACGGCAGGACTTTTGGAGCCGTTTCCGCATGGTGACGGTTACCCAATGAACCAGTCTGTGTGCTCGAAGGTCCGATGATGGAACCATGGTGGAATTGTCATCCAATGCCCGCAATAGTGTTTCCGAGATGAGTCCATCACGAATGGCCGTCTGTTCAAACTGCTCCACCCATGTGGTGATGCGTCGCAACGCCAAAGCACAGTGTTCGCCAGCAAGTGTCGCTCTCTCCAAGTGACGCGGTAAGCATATTGGCGGCTGGTTATCATCGTCAGGGGTACTTTTAGTAGTACTGGGATGATCACGACATTCTTTCTCTTGTCTTTCTTCCGGACGATCCGTTTTGGTTCCTAGCAGTGCGGCCGATATCTCTCCTGGCAAATGCGTCTTTTTGAATTTTCCCACCATTCCATTGGCCATGAATCGGGTCATCATGGCCATGAACCCAGCACGGCTTTCCAATGCCAGAGCGGCGGACGTTGGTACTCGAAAAAAAGCCGAGGAGAAATGTTCTCCTAGCAAACTGCTGACGACGCGGTTCATGTAGTTGAAGAGGAGCACCAAGAGCGCAATCTCCGCCTTGTTTTGTTCCGTCAAATAATGATCTGAACTTTCGTCGACCACACTACTACTATCTTCTCTTGAAGCCGCCAACTTGCTGCTTCGTTGCTGCCACAGCGTCAGCAAATGATCGGCGTACTCGAGCGCCTGAGTATTGCGTATTGCCTTGTCCTCTGCATGTCCAGCGCACGTGGATGACGATCCTTCACCACCTTCGGTTGGATGTTGCTGGTGGTACTCTGCCTTGTACCATTGCCGTGATTTCCGTATAGGGCACTTGATGGTATTCATCTCGCCTTCAATTTCTGCTTGCCGCGCTGCAATCATCATGATACTGCACACAAGACAGAACAGAACAGACAGAAAACAAACTGGTCAGGCACTGCCTTTCTCTCTGTGGGTTCTTCTTGCACAGAACAGAACCAACCAAGTAAGGCTGGATTCGACTCACCGATGGGCTTTCTCGCAAAGAGGACAATCGTTGTGTTGACTGATGAGCTCTGTAATGGCTTCCTTGCTCGATCGACAAAGCGACGTTTCCGCCACGAGAGTTTCGGCAATCCATGTCCATACCAACGCAAACACTTCCTCATCTACAGAGTGAAGTGAAATGGGATTCCTATTGCCTCTGGCGGCGGCACATCCCAGTTCAAAGTTCTTGGCGATGGACTTTCGGGTTGCCGAGGCTTTGGGCATCCGTCTGTGATCACTGCTGTTGTGGCTGGAGAACGACGACGCTGATAGAGAGGACTTCTTCATGTTATGCTGCGATATGTATTATTGTTTTCTGTGGCGGATGTCTTTTATTTTAAAAAAAAAGGAATGCGGAAGACGTCGAAGGGATGAGTGCTGCTCGACTGCTCAAGCAAGATTCTACTCGGGTGGGCCGCGTGTGGTGGGGCTGCGAGCTGCGGCTGGGACCTATGTTGAGGTGGAGTCGAGTGAGAGTCGAGTGAGAGTTACTATTATAGTAGTTGAGCGTCTGGTTGTTGGTTGTTGGTTGTTGGTTGTGGCTGTTGGCTGAATGTTCGAACGTTCGAACAGGAAACAGGAACAGAACCCGGACTCGACTCGACTCTCACTCTACTAGTACACGTACTAAGTAAATACGGTGCATTTCACCCGTCCTGCTACTAGTATCATAGTGCCGTACCGGTACCTCCTCTCATCATCACGCTACATAAGTACGTCCGAAATCTACCCCACACTAGTTAGGATCCAGTCACGCATTGTTAAAGCTAACTTGAGGAAACACTTAAACCGCGCAAGCTGATTGAAACTCCAAGAGCAAACAATATTTAATGATACTTTGGTGATGCTACTACAGAGGGAAATAAGATTTAAATACTAGTAATAGCCAAACCGCTTTTTCCAGAGAGCTCCTCCAGAGTTATGTTGCGCTTTGCAACTCCCGCGGAAGTCGCGGAAGCGCGGATCGCGGAAGGTTCTTGCTTTCCACGTTACGTGATGTCTACATGTCAAGCTACCGTGGAAAACCATCCCACAACCACACACCTCTCGCCCTTTGACGTCTTCCTCGATGCCTACATTCTAAAATGTACGAAGTCAGTTGGAGTAAAGAAACTAGTAATGAAACTTACCAACGAATAGAGAAGGAGGATAAAAGCTCTGTCGTAGCAGTTGCCCAACAGTTCGCTCAAACTGGATAGCATGATTAGATCTATACAACAAGCGCAAGTCAGACTCATATGCCGCCAACGAATTCCAAAACTTCGCACCTCCTTGGTCAATCCGACTCAACCGAGACATTCAAAGGAACAGCATTGAAGTGAGCATCGTATGGCAAGGCAACCAATCAGCACTGTCAAGACCTTCGGGACACAACACAGCAGCCTATGCAACAGGGAGCACCTCGAGATACTGAAACGATCCAGAGAATCACCGGAAAAGCTGATCAACTCCTGCAATAAAATCAACGGAGCCTGCCGACCTAAACCACATTTTCATAAGTACCACAATATCCCAAGCACTGATGATTCCCATGGGGGATGAAAAAGTCAGACAACCGAACAGTTACCACAGAGTGAAAGCTCGTGTTTTAGCGATTCGGCAGTTTGTGCTGATCATGAGTAAAACCTACTTCATTCAGTCACTTTTTGCTAAAATTGGATGATTAGATCTACTGATCTAGTCTACTCTTCTTTTTGATGACATATTTTATTAACTGGATCCGACGTGTTGATCCGTTGATGATGTTTGGAGGCAGTTAGTTGGCCAATGTGCTCAAATAATCGAAATGGATTGGCAGGTCTTTGTCAATGTGCACTCGTCGCCTTCCTCTTGCTGACCCAATGACTACAGTAGTCTACCTGTGGGTTCATTCGCAGGCGGGGTCAAAGCAGACAATTTACGGGGAGCACGGCAAAAGTCGCTTCTGAATGTTCTTTGATCGTGTTCAATGGTGTCTTCTGATTTACATGTAGTTCACTGTAGGGATTCGTTCTACTAGCTAGCTAGTGGAGTGGCTAGTTCAGTATCCCCACTGGATCATGATCATGCTATTCGAGACACCAAACACCAGACACCAGCGATGCTGCCATGCTGCGGTACCGGTACACACTGTGCACCTCATCGGCATCCGTAGCATAAGACTTAGTAGTATTTTCTTTAGCCACCATCCACCATCCCCATTACGAGCCCTCACTTGCTTGGATTTGCGCTGATGTGCTGACCTAGAGCTCTCATTCCTTTGCTTTGGTGAACTCTCAGCAGGATCCAATACAAACGTAAAGGCCATTGAACAGCCAACAAACACTCATGAATAATTTCTAATACCCTGTGCTTTGATCGACCCCGTCAAGTTATTGAAAGGAGCATAACAGGATTGGTGACTCAATACAATCTGTTTTGCGTCTGGTGCGTTCGATGAAGCACTTATCATTATGAGCCCAAAGCAAACGTTGCCCTTAGTTGGATGACTCAAGGCTCAAGGTTGTCGAGAGGTGCCGGTATTGTGGATCACAGACATCGTTCTTCCTGAGTGTGTGAACCCTTTTGAAAGCCCCCTCTAGTCCGAGACCCACCAGGATCATCAGCGAGTCTGCACCCGCCACTCTTCCAGGTTCGAGTGACAGCCCAAAGTCCTATTCCTCAGTCTTCCGAATGCGCCCTCTCGCGTTTCACTCGTCAACAATTCTCAATTCCACCGTTGATCGAACCGTCATTTGAAGGTTTTGAGCATAAGCGTAGGAGAAGTTCGAAGGCAACACACTCTTGGTTTGTACGTGCTCGGAGTTGTTCTGATGAAGTTGCTCACTTTGAGCGATGAGGTAGTAGAAACGTCGAATCAAATTGAATGCGAACGTCGTCACCCGGTTCATCGCTCAGGCCTCGAAGACAGATACGAGCGGAGAATCGCTTTTGTCGACCCGAGCTTGGTACATTCGTACATGCGAGTGTTTATCAACCAGGACAAACGTTTTGCTTGCTCGACCAGTGGTAGATCCAATGGAGGAATGTGACGTCCGTAGTGGATTCGGCTGCAACTTTAGTTTGCGGCAACGGCGGATGCGCTGTCAAGGGCACGCACAAGATCGAGGGAGAGCAGTTCGTTGTTCGACATGGCGGTGCGAAGTCGACAGAGGTGAAAGGAGAAAAGCAGCCAACCGTGAGGCGTCCTCGGCCGGTCCCCCGAGAGTCCAACAACCAATTCCCTGCTGCCGGCACGCCCGGAAACCAATTGCAGGGACGGTCGTCGAGACTCTCGCCCGCCTTCCCCTTTCTGTCTAATGCAGTACGGAAGAAAACTGGGTTTGGCTAGTGGCGTTACATCAAAGCAATACATACGTTTGTCGGAAAAGATTGCTTGCAACGAGTTTGCCCAATGGAAAGTATCCTTACAAAGCGTGCATTTGGTGAGTATTCGGGACAAAGATCGATCCACCCAAATCCATTCGCGCTCCGTTTGAGCCAGAAGTCGTCCTCGTTTGGTGCCGGAGATAGCATCACAACCTCGAACTTGAAGAAGGTTGCTAAACTTTATCCACCGACCCCATTGATGGTCATAATTATTGGCCTGCGTGCCATCATAGGTTCACAGCGAGTGTCACCAATGCCATGGTGGTTGGAGCGGTACCGGTAGCACCTCCAGTAGTTATACGCAGAGCATACTGGTACCAGGTACCTATCAATGTCCAATTGATGTAGGTTCACAGAGCTGTTCATCACCGCAACGCTGGATCTGTGTTGGTTTTTGGACTGGAGTCGAGTCAGAGTCTGATGGGCCCTTCGCCCGGGAGTCGAGTCAACTCTTACCGCGACAACAGTCAAATGCGGCACGGCGGGCAGTCATTAGTTGCGCGCACTCTAAGTAGCTTTCTATCTTTCTTTCCAGGAATGTTTTGAAGTTGCCGTTGTTCTGCAGACTTGATCAACTTCATGAAATCTTCCCACGCTTTTCCGCCATGATCATAAAACCTGTGTGTAATACGCCTGCTTCTGAGAAATGGAAGGTCTGCCATGTTTTATCACAATTTGTGGCCAGCAGAGCAACACCTGTCTCAATTTTGCTTGTCATGGATAGAGCAAACAGTTCCAGCAAGTTTTTTCCAGTCTTGATACGAGACCTATCCGTTTTGAGTTCAACTAAACCATTCACAAAAGTAAAAGTCTCTCCATGCTCCATATTCTCCAATTTTCCAATGGCAATGTCACCTTTTCCGGCGGCGCTTTTCCTGTTGCCCTTCACCTTTGGAAGTACTGCACCAGTTACAACCTTG